TTCCTCTCTTTCTCTCCCTTTTTACAAAGAAAAAACTTATACTGTTTACCTAAACTCTGTGTTCTGGATCAACCCGCTCCATCTATGAAAGGACTCTTTCTCTCCCCCCACCCCACCCCCTCCTGAGAAGAAAGGAGAGGGAGAGAGAGATAAATGCCATTGATGAGAGAGAATCATTGACCCGATGCCTCTTGCACTCCCACTCTGGGGATCAAACTCACAACCCAGGCATGTGCCCTGACCAGGAATCACACCATGATTTCCTGGTTCATAGGTTGAAGCTCGACCACTGAGCCACACAGCCTGGGCTACTCAGGCCTCTCTTAGATAATTCCCTCTTCTGTTTTTATTGCCTCTCAGTTTATGCTAGATTCTTCCCATTAGCATTTAAATATCAAATTTCTTGTAAAAATAAATCTTTACTCTTCATTCTTCTTCAGATAGCTCTCCTCCCTTCACAAACCCTCTTGGTGAAATTCTTTGTCTTTTTGCTCCCACAACCTTAACCTTGCTTTCAATCCTCTGCCCACTGCACTCTATTGTTCTTATTACTGAAACTGTTCTCTCCAAAGTCACTAATGATCACCTGGTGCCTCCATTCAATGGACATTTTTCACACTTCACTCTGCTGAGCTTTCCACAGCATTTGACACTATTTGCTCTTCGAAGAGTCTTTTTCCTTCCCACACTCCATGTATTCCTCCCACGACTGTAGCAGCGCCTCATCTCCATTGTGAATGACTCTTCTGTTGCCTGCCCCTTAATATTGATGTTCCTCTGGGCTCTTCTCAACACATCTTCTTTTCTAATTTGAAACATTCTTTCAAGACATCCATCCATTCCCATGGCTTCATGCTAAGGATTCACAGATATATAGAACCTGTTCAAATCTCTCTCTTGAGTTCTAAACATGTATATCCAGTGACACTCTAGATATCTGCCTGTGGCTGTGACCTTGGAAATTCAAGTTCAATGTGTCTCACAAGGAACTTATTATCTTTCCTCCCCAATCTGCTCTTCTTTTGTTTGTGTCTGAGCCCAAATAATGACACTCAAAGCTACCCAGTTGCAAGCCAGAAATCTAGAGATCATCACTAAGTCTCCCCTTACCCCTCATTCCTCATCACTAAGTCTCCCCTTACCCCTCATTCCTCATTTCTTAATAAACCTCTGAAATATGTGAGATACACAACAGCACAGTCAAGTACACAGCCTTGCAACCAGACTGCCTGGGTTCACATACAATCACTGCGTAACCATGAGCAGGTGATGTAGTACCTTTATTCCATAGATTTCTCATCTGTAAAATAAAGATAATAATAGGACCTACCTCCAAGGGTGGTATTAAGGATTAAATGAATCAGTGTATGCTAAACACAGAACAATGCCTGGATCTATGTGTCAAATTTGTTATGATTATTAAATATCTCCTGTTGCTTAAACATGACATATTTTCACCTGGATTGTTGCATTAGTCCTATAAGAGAGCTTCCTACCACCAGTGCTCCTTACCTACACCCCATCCATTCCTACTTCAACCAAAGTGATATTTCTAAAGTGCAGATCTAAACGTGCCTCTCTATTCCCCAAATCTCTCCTGAGGTTTCTCAACCAGCTCCTTTCTCACAGCGCTACCTCTCATGGTCTGCACAGGCCAAGGGATGTGGTCTTTCAAGGAGTCGTGTATTGGTTTTGATAGGGGCAGAAATAAATTATTGGGAACCAGCTATAATTGTAAGAAATATTAACTATGCTCTGTTAACCGTGATTGTTTCGTTCTGCTTAAAGAAAGCACACTGGACCTGGGAGTTCACCTGGAAATGCAGCTCATCTTCCCCATTTGGAGCTGCCTCGTTGCCAAAACCAGAATCACTAGCCCCTTGAAGATCCCCGATCCTTTTGCATTCCCACAGGCCTTTGCAAATCTGCAGACCAGTAAACTACCCATTTGGCATACCTTTTGCCTACTTTCCCGTGTAATCTTTGTCCTTCTACTCTGTATAAGCAGCTGGCTTATGGTGGGAGACAAAGCAGATTTTTGTGGGTGACCTGCTGCTTTCCCATACTGCCAGTAGTATTGGGATAAATACTCATATATGATTCAACCCTGTCTCTGCTTAATTGGCTCAAGTAGTGACAGGCAGCACCAACCCATTGGTTGTCTGGTTACAATTTCATATTCTTTCTTTCTTTCTTTTTCTTTCTTTCTTTCATTTCAGAGAGGAAGGGAGAAGGAGAGAGAGAAACATCAATGCTGACAGAAATCATTGATCAGCTGCCTCTTGCATGTCCCCTACTGGGGATTGAACCTGCATCCCAGGCATGTGCCCGTGACTGAAATCGAACCCAGGACCCTTCAGTTCACAGGCCAACACTCTATCCACTGAGCCAATCCAGCTAAGGCAGTTTCATGTTATTTCAAATCCATTTGTTTAAGTAAAGTTGATTATAATAATGACAAAGAAAAAAATAGTTGTTTTTAGAAGTAAAGTTGTTCTGGTGTAAGAATGAAGTAGGTCATGCCAGGGTGTCAGCAATAACAGTGGTGATAAGCCACTCAGAGCTCCTTGGAAAAGATCGGCCTCCTCCCAATGCTGGTGCTTCGTTTCCTAGCGGTGAGCTCTAGCAACAGGGGATTTTCACTTTTGCTCTGGCAGCTGAAAATCAGCTCTGAGTTGGATGCTCTCTCTCTCATTGTATAAAAGAATACACCTCTCAATTCTTTTATTTTATTCCTTCACCTCCCCTTGCATGGAAAAACAGTATGATCTGTCATTTGTTTGGAGTCGGTTATTTCGTTATTTGGCTTATTAAAATATATATATATATATATATATATATATATATATATATATATATGCTATTAGCTCATAAAATTGTTACAATTCTCAGAGTAAAGGTGCTAAATAAATTGCTGGTAAAGACAAAAATCAGTCTCTGAGTAAAACTTTTGCTGCCTCCCCATCCCCACTCACTTCATCTGTCTACTACTTCCTCATCCTTCATTCCTCACTTAGAAATCAGAAGCCTCCCCAGAAGGTATTGAGATTTCCTTTCCTCAGGACAGGATAAGTTTTCTTCCCTCCTACTTTTTGGTCTATCAGAATACTTATTAGATTGTAATATACTCATCTCTGCCCAGTAAAATGTTATCAGATTGTCTGATTTATTGATGGTTGAATTCTCAGCACAATGCCTGCCACAGTAAATATTTGTGAATAAATGCATGAGAGAAAAATATATTCATTTTACTTATAAGGAGCTAGAGAGTCGTGTAGAATGTTTATTGAAGGTCACAGAGCTAGTAAGTGGTAGAGATAGATTTGATACTGGTTCAAGTGACTGAAGTTCATGATCGCTGCGCCTTTACAGGAGGAAAGAGACTATGGTCATACTTAGAAGCAGATTTCTGGTCACCTCTGTGCCTGGGCAGCATCAGACCAGAGGGGGTGAATTGAATGTGGAGCGGGTGTAGAGGTGAGAAAGCCTTACCTCTCAAGAAGACTGATACAGGAACTTTTGCCAGTTTGGAAGCATGGTGGAGATTGCATTTTTGGCTTCTCTCAATAGAAACCCCATCTACTTACTATAAGATGTGTCTAGATGGCCCTGTCCCAGGACAGGGGTCAGGCATTTTATATCAAGGGAGCTGTGAATATATTTTAAGGAACTATTTGAATTTTATGTATACTGGCAAGCTTTTCAAAATGTATTTGATTTTGTAATATTTACCAATGACTTATTTACAAGTTATTTACTCAAATAAGTGAAGCTGCTTAAGAGAGAGAGATTCTTTAAAATCTTTAAAGGTGACAGTCCTGTGTGATGGAGAACACAAACACACGCAACTAAGAAATGGACAAGATTCATTTAAATAACCACTCTATTTTTTGTACCCCTTTAAGAGTAAGTTTAGGAAATATGCCCCTGGCAGTAGTCAAAGTATATTGAGCACAAAACACATACACTAAACAGACTGAGCCAAATGCTTTTACCTGCACTAATAACTTATTCCTTAGAACAATTCTTTACAGGGAGAGAAGAGCCTATGATCCTCATAGTACATGTAACATTCTCTACAGAAGAGGATGTTAATGCTAAGAAAAAGGTGAGCAACCAACCAGCTAATAAGGGACGGAGTCAAGATTTGAACCCAGAACGTTCTGACCATATCTACTCTTAACTATTTAACTAACATGCTTCTAAGGTGGCCAAATGTGCCACCTCCCACCCCATCCTAGACCTGCATTAGTATTGTAGAATCCAGAAGATTGGCAAAGAAAGAATTCTCAACTCTCCAGTAATTTTCCTTTTGGGAAACATGAGAAAACAACACTGGAGTGACTTCTGTCTCCATTCTCACATGCCTATCTCTGACTTCAACCATCCTCCATACAGTTAACCTGGCGTTCTTTCTGAAATGCAAATCTCAATCACATAGACTCCCTCCTTAATATTGCAGTGGCTTCCCTTCTGTGTTAAGATAAGGTTTCAGTTCTTTAGCATAGAGCATGAGGCCCCCTACATCTGGCTTTGACGTACTTTCCTTCCCTCTCCTCCTTTCTTGTATCCCCCAAAATTCATATGTTGAAACCCACAACCCTATATTTGGAGACAGGGCTGTTATGAAGGGAGTTAAAATTAAATGAGGTCATAAATGTGGGCCCTAATCTGATAGGATTGGTGTTCTTTTTTCTTTTTTAAAAAAATATATTTTATTGATTTTTTACAGAGAGGAAAGGAGAGGGATAGAGAGTAAGAAACATCAATGAAAGAGAATCATCGATCAGCTGCCTCTTGCACACCCCCTACTGGGGATGTGCCCGCAACCAATGTACATGCCTTGACCAGAATCAAACCTGGGACCTTTCAGTCCGCAGGCCGACTCTCTATCCACTGAGTCAAACTGGTTTTGGCAGATTGGTGTTCTTATTAGAAAAGGAGGAGGAACTAAATATCTATCTACCTCTCTACACTTCACTTCTACCGCTCCCCGCTGCAGGTGCACAGAAGAAAAGCTATGTGAGAAACCATCAAAAAGGTGGTGTCTGCAAGCCTGTAGAGACCTCACTGAAAACCAACACTGGCACCTGGATTTTGGACATGTAGCCTCCGTAACTTTCTGCCTTTTAGACCACCTAATGCAGTATCTTGCTATGACAGTCCAAGTGACTGACACAGAATTTCACTGAATGTTTATAAAAGAGAAGGCTCACAAAGTTATCTTGATTAGTCCTGGCCAAAAGAATTTTCTTCAGTGATGGAAATGTTCTATATATGTTCTGTCAAACATAGTAGCCACCAGACACATGTGGTTTAGTACAGCTGGGGAACTCAATGTTTAATAGTTCAATTTATAATGAATTCAAATTAAGTTGAAATAACAATAACCACAAGAGGCTAGTGACTAATGTATTACACAGCACTGGTCTAGGTAATTAAACTTGAATCTTGCTATCATATCTGATAACATAATCTTCTATGTAGATTTTTAAATTAAGTTATTTCTATGATTCATGTAGTCCAAACTTTATTAAAATACATGATAGCTAGCATAAGGCATTATTTTTTTTAATCTTAAGAAACAACAACAACAAAAATTGTATAACATTAGAAGTGGAACTCAAATTCTGTTTTAAAGAAAAACAATTTATCCTGTGCCTGTGACTTAGACATTATTTCTCAAACTTCACAGCAGAACAAAATTCATATTAACCTTAAGAAAGATAATGAGCTCTTCCCAATTGGTTATATTTATATTGTAAGTCAATGTAAAGGATTTATTTATACAACTATGTGATTTGAGTAGTGGTTAAAAAAACTTTTAGTTAATGGATCAACTTTGTACCCTATGCTGTTGTCTTGTAATAAATAGCAAGATCAACCTTCATTCCATTCTCCTAAATGCCATTAGTCAATGCCTCTGGCTTCTTAGTAGCCTTAAATAATTATATATTGATTTGCTCCTGCTACAGTTATTGGCTTTAACCACTGTCAAGTTTTGTTACTGTGGACCCTGCCTGTCATGCTCAAATCTCTTGTGGGGGGGGGGGGGGGAAAGCCATAAGGAAATCTCCAGCCAAAGGTACTACCTTTATTACAAGGTAGCATGTTGTTCTTAATCTCTATCTCCTCTTTGCAAACAGATGGTGAAGCTAGGTTAAGGTGACCAGACGTCCCTCTTTTGGTGGGACAGTCCCGATTTTTAACAATTTATCTCACGTCCTGCTGCATTTTAAACAAGTCCCAATTTTAAATTGTTAAAAATTGGGACTGTCCCGCCAAAAGTGGGACATTTGATCACCTTAAGCTAGGTAGGAACCCGAGGCTTCCTTTTTCTCTATCCCCAGAATCCCAAAGTCGGTGGCTAGCAAACTCAATTAGGAATGTATCAGCAACCTAGATTAACTGTGGGATAAACATATATTTTTCTTTCACAGACCAGGAGGATAGAAGTATTTTTAAAAGGCTCAACCGCCACAGGGCAGACTTCTCTGCAATTTTCTTGGCTTTTCCCTTGTAGTTGCCGAATAGTTGCTTCAGTTCTAGACTTCTTAAGAAGAAGAAGGAAGAAGAAGAGGCAAAAGACCAGTACAAGAAATTCCTGCCTATTTTTATCAGAAAAACAAAAACCTTCTGAGAAGTCTTCAGCACTGGGCCTCTTCTTTGCTTCTGGTCTCAATCTGCCCTTCCTAGAACTCTGTCCTATTTCAAAGAATCACTTCTTCTCTCAATGAAGAATCCTGTACCCCCATTCTCTCTAGACTGAAAAAACAAAACAAAACAAAACAAAACAAAAGCAGTGATCCTATCTTTTATTTCTGCTACCTCTGGTGGAGGGCCCCCATTACAGTCTCTTCTAAAGGCCCTGCCTCCATGGGATGGAGTTAACACAGGCTTCCTCATGTCTCCACCTTCTCCTACGTCTGGCAAGACCCCTGTCCTCTGGAGGACTGAACCTGGACTTATATTGCCCTGTGCTACTCACTGTGGCCCCAGCAGCTCTAGCCACACTAAATACACCCAGAAATTCTTGTTCCTGAGTTTTTGCTATTCCAATTCCCTCTACTTAGAATGACCTTGAATTCAGTGCAGATACAGATTTTCCCATACAATCCTCTGATATACCTGCAATCAGAAATGACACCTCTGTATCCCCAGGTCTCTTGGTTTATACCTTTCTAATGGTGTGCAGTACACTTTCCCTGTATCACAGTTATTTCTATAACAGTTGAACTGGCCTGTGAGGTTTTGGTAACAAGCTCCTATGAGTCTTAATTTTTGTGCTCCCTATATGCGTGATAATGCCTTGCACAGACTATACACTGAAAGAGTATATTTAGAATTAAATTGTAAATATTTAGTCTGTTCCAATGAGCAAGATGACGTATTTACCTTCTCTTTCTTCCCCTATACCCATCACATATCATTTGAGTTTTCTGGAAATTGAAACTGAGAATGTAGTTGGTGTCTATGGTAGAAGTTGGGAATTATAGTGGGAATCATTATCATTAGATAGATCCAGACAGAGGATAATTCATTGAAAAATGAATTTTATTTAAGTCCTACCAACAACTGTCTGTGTCTTCACCTCTTCTTGAATCCTGGAACAGGCGAGCACATATCTTAACATTAGCTTGCCCTATGTATTAGATAGGGTAGGTCAGCTGCAGAAATAACAATTATTTAGTGTCTTAAATAATTCAGAGTATTTCTCTCTCACATAACAGCCCAGGATGTGCCTCTTCTCAAGTAATCATCCAAAGACCTAGGTTGGTGGCCGCCCTCCCATCCATTAACAGAAATTCGAATAGGACAGCCTTCCTTTAAAATCAAGAGCTGAGGAGGGAGGATCATGTAGTGATGCAGAAACATTTTGAGAAAGAGAAGAAAGACATCGAAATGGTCACACTGGAGAATCTCAATCTTCTACATGTAGTAGGAGGACTCAAGAGACAGAAGACAGGGTGAATCTCTAAGGAAGCAGTGACCCCACAATTGAAGATGAGGCACTTTCCGAGGTAGACAGGGCCCTGGAATAGCCAGGAGTTACGGTCAAACTGAGGCTGGGATTCTGCAATGTGTTGGCATGGTCCAGCCAGGACAGCCAGTGTCCATTATCAGAGTGAGGGGCCAGAACAATAATGAGGAAACAAAGCAAGAAGTCAGGATGTGGGTGAGCGGTGATGACGGGGAATGTACAGGCGAGGTGAGGAATGGGGAACTGCACTGTGTGGAGATGGAGGTACCAGCGTTAAAGGACCAGAGCCCAGACAGACAGGTCATTTGCTGGGAGTAAAGGGCAGAGGAGGAGTTAACTTAAGAGGCAAGGGTTTAGGTGGCAGTTTGAAGAGACACCGGTTTTCTCACAGTGGACTTCAGGATAAGCCATACATTTTTTTTTCTGGATCCATACATTTAATTTATCCAAAGAAAAGCTATTTTATTTATTTTTTTAATGTTTTTATTGATTTTGGAGAGTAAGGGAGAGAGAGACGAAACATCAATAATAAGAGAGAATCATGATTTGCTGCCTCCTGCATGCCCCCTACTGGGGATGGAGCCTCCAACCAGGGCATGTGCCCTGACCAGGAATAGAACCCTGACCTCCTAGTTCAGAGGTCCATGCTCAACCACTGAGCCACACTGGCTGGGCAAGAAGAGCTATTTCAAGTGGAAGCACACCTTATTTCTGCTACATCATATCAACACCACAGAGACATTTTGATGTCAGAAAACATCTCTTTTTCCTCTTCACCCCAACTCTTTGTTTCCTGTATTTGTGAGGGGCATAAATTCTAATAAGAAATGATCTTATGAAAAGATAAGTCTAAAATTATACCAAACCTGTTGTTCAGTGGAGAGCAGTTAACATAGTTTGCTCTCTTAAGGGTGCTTCAGAGAATAGGATGCTGCTTTAGGCTGCAATTGAAACAGGCCAAACAGCCATCGAGTTATGTGATATTTACATCCTTTTTTTTTTTTTTTTTTTTTTTTAAAGAAAAGCTCTTTCCCAACACAGGGCCTTTGAGCTGTTTCCCTCTGCCTTCAGCTCTGCTTCTACAGCAAGGAACAAAATGGTCAACAAGGAGCGAAAATGGCCACAGAAATATCTCTCATCACACATGTTCTTTTTACAAAGTAACCCCCAAATTCCTCCATGAAGAGGTGGAATCTAGGGGTGCTCTACCTCTCAGAAGCATGCCAGGGCCTTTCCCTGCCCCTCTTCTCCCCCTCTCCTCCCTGCTCCCCAGGCACATGACCTTTACCTTCCTCTCTCCTCCGCTCCAAGGGCCCTTCTGCTTCTATAACTTGCTGTAGCAGGCTCACTTCAGCTACTTCTGTAACTTTTGAAATAACTTTCTCTTATAATTTGAAATGAAAAAAGAAAAAGAGGTGGAATCCATGTTTTCACCTCTTGAACCTAGGTGGGCCTCTGCTCTGCGTCAACCTATAGAGTACAGCAAAACTGACTTCTTAAGTCACTTCATAAACATGCCCCATACTTCCACCTCACTCTTTTTTATATATATCTTTTATTGATTTTTTTTACAGAAAGAAAGGGAGAGGGATAGAGAGTTAGAAACATCGATGAGAGAGAGAGACACTGATTCATCTGCCTCCTGCACACCTCCTATTGGGGATGTGCCTGCAACTAAGGTACATGCCCTTTTGACAAGAATCGAACCGGGGACCCTTCAGTCCACAGGCCAATATTCTATCCACTGAACCAAATCACTTAGGGCCCTTTCACCTCATTCCTTTGGGAGTCTTGCACTTGGGACCCAGCCACCATGCTTGAGAAAGTCTGAGCTACCACATGGAGAGCCTGCATTCAGGTGTTCTGGTCAACAGCCACAGCTGAGTTCCTGGCCAATAGCCAGCATCAATAATGAAACGTGTGTGTAAAAAAGCCTTTCGATGATTCCACCCCCTCACTATTGAGTCACAGCCTTTGAGTCTTCCCAGCAGAGGTCACAGACATTGTGGAGCGGAGACTGGCAACTTCCTTTGGGCCCTTTCTGAACTCCTGCCCCACCGAATCCAAAAGCATCACAAAATGGGGATGATTTTACTCTAAGTGTGGAGTGCTTTAATAACAGTAGTAGTGTCTAGAACTGGGTTCCAGTTTTTAGCTATTATACATAAACATTCCTGTGCGTGCATTTCTTTGGGGGACCATAGGTCATGAATATTAACTCTAGCAGCTAACGCCAAACTTTTCCCAAAGCAGGTGTGTCCATTTCGACTTCCTCCAGCAGTACATGGGGTTTCTAGTTGTCAAACGTCCTCACCAATATTTGATATTGCCAGTCTTTTAAATTCCAGCCTTTTAGGTGGATATGTAGTAATATCTCATTATTATCTTAATTTGCATTTCCTGGACTTCTAATAAGGTTGAGCATTTGAAAATATGTGTATCCAGGCCCTGGGTCAGGCCCTAGGGTTAGATTGCAGGTCTCCGGAGGCCTATGGGAAGCAACCGATTGCCTCCTGATCAATGTACCTCTCTCATATTGATGTTGCTCTCTTTCTCTCCCTTGCTCCCTATATAAAATCAATATATATATATATATATATATATATATATATATATATATATATATCTGATATTTGGTCATAAAGATATTCTCCTATATTATCTCTTAGCAGCTTTATTACTTTGCCTTTCTCATTAATAACAATTTTAGGAGGTTCTGTGATGTCATTTTATTTGTCTTCCCTCAAATCATACTTTGGGATTACAGCCATCTACATGTTAATCTACTCCAAAGTGAGGTAGGAGAGCGAAGGAGGATCTAATGTTGGAATATCCTCCTGGTCTCAAGGCTTAGAAGTTCTTAATTGTAAAACAAGTGATAAAGTAAAAAAATCCCAAGGCCTTAGAAGAGTAGGACTCTTTGTTCTTCAAACAGTCTAATCCAAGTAAATCATTTGAGCCCAACCTCTACAGAAGAGGTTACCCACTCACTCTGTTCTCCCTTCTCAGGTGTCTCCTCCTTTCTCACTGTGACAGCCAAACAAACAAGCACAAACGT